AGGCACTGTTCAATGTACTGCTCACGGTACTGCTGCTGGAACAGGCACTGTTCAATGTACTGCTCATGGTACTGCTGCTGGAACAGGCACTGCTCAATGTACTGCTCACGGTACTGCTGCTGGAACACAAGGGTCACAAGCCTGTAAAGAATAGAAATTGATTTTCTTATAGCTACAAAGGCTAAAAGCCCAAGTCAAGGCTGCATCTGTTTTGAGGCCTTCCTTGTTGGGAGTTTTGGACATGTGCTACTTCTTTCCTTTGTGGATGATCTTCACCTGGATCTGTCTTCCTCATTTGTGCATTTCTGGCTTTCATAAGCCAATGTTTATATTCTCATATCGTTGTTGTTGTTAAGTGCCATTGAGTTGAGTATGATCCATAGCAACTCTACGAACGGCAGAGCTGAGCCCTCCTCTAGCCTGTGCCTTCCTCACACTTCCTGACGCACAAGTGCCCATTTCAGTAGTGTCAATCCACCTAGTTGAGAGTCTTCCTCCCTTTTGCCGTCCCTCCACTTTCCCAACTATGATGCCCTTCTCCAAAGAATAACCTCTCCTAGCAACATATTCAAATACGTGAGACGAAATTTTACCTTCTTTGCCTCTAAGGAGCACTCTGGTTGCACTTTCTCCAAGGTATATTTTTGGTAAAGATAAAACAATGATGACACCATATTCCATTACTTAATCTTCTTTCCTGTTTGAGGAGAAGAACACTACCCAAGTCGACTCTTTTGATACTGGTTTTATTTCCTTCCTATTTTTTTTTTTAACTTTCTAAAAATTTTAAAGCCACTTCAAATGTCCTGGGAAAAGGATGAGTTCAAGCCTTTCAGTACACCCTTTCTGAGTAACAGAATGAATGCTCACTGGCAGAAAATAGCTCCATCCCTCAGGTTAACTGTCGTCTTATGATCTCTTAGCTCCAAATAACTTGTTACTTGACCTACTTGGGGGGGGAACCTCAAAATTTTAAGAGATATTTGAAAAAAATAACAACTTAATAATAGTAATTACACTGAAAACAAAAGAAATAATGTAGTTATGCGTCTTCTGTGGTTATTGGGAAAATGCCAAATCTTCACAAGTTAGATGTTTATATCAAGCTTGAACATCCTCTAATAAGCTGACCTTTCTAAATCAGACTCTTAGCGACCTTCGTTCCTTTATGGGCTTGGAATGAGTTAGAAAGCATTCTTTTGATCTCTACCAAGCAAGGAGAGCGAAAATGCTGGGAAGAATAAAGAGAAGAAATCAAAAAAGCTAACACCTTAAGCCCAAGTTTTTTGTTGTTATTTCTGGGTTGTTTTCTGGACTGTTTCTCCTTGAAAAGGTAGTCACATTGTCCGTCAACATCTGCCTGCATAATAGGGGAGGAGGGACAAGGAGACACACATTTGATGTCCCCAAGTCATAGAATAACAAGGGTGTCCCTGTGGGGACCTCAGCCAATTTGCTATTCTCAAGGAAGTCAAGCTCAATGAAGACAAGACATAAGCTCTAAGAAGAAATATGAGCTGGGAAAATAGGGGCTTAGTGGTAGGATTATTGTCTGCCATATGGGAGACTCAGATTTGATTTCTCATCAATGAATCTTACCATCTGTTTAGCCACCACCCAATATACCTTAGCCACTACTCATTCATCAGCAGAGGTTTATGCGTCAGCTCTGTTGTTCATAAATTTCTACGAGTCATACTCAACTGAATGGAACCTGACAACAATAAGGGAGCTCTGGTGGCCTAATGGTAAGAAGCTGTGTTGCAATCCCAAAGGCATGCAGTTCTAATCCACCAGTTGGTCTGGGGGAGAAGGATGGGGTAATCTCCTCCCAAGCAATTCACTGCCTCTGAAAACCTGTTCAAGGGTCAGTTATGGATTGGTTCCAACTTGACAGCACACAACAATGAGTTTTCCATGGCACTTCATGAATAAGACACACTAGGAAGAAAAGCCAAATGAATCTAACTCTAAAAATAAGTCGGTAAAAACCCTACATATCACGACAGCTGCATCTGCCACCAATCGTGTGCAGAATGGTGCAAGGTCAAGATCAACGACTAAAGTTCTACTGTGGTTGGGTTTACCACAGGTAGGAGGCCAACAGGGCAGGAGTTAAGAACAACATGAAGTTATAAACAGAATTTGTTGTTGCAGTTAAACATACGGATCTCTCAGGAGAAAATCAAGAGCTGTCACTCTCCTCTTTCCTGCCATGCACACTGGTAGCAGGGCCCACAGCGGCATGGCTTCCCGGCCTTCAGTGGACCCATACATGGCTCTGCAACTGGCACCACTATGGACAATGACTTCAACATAATTCCCAGTGACATCACTCTTACGAGTTCAGGCAGCTATTTCAATAAGCACTGCTTCTTTGGGGAAAAAAGAGACAACCACCTTTATTTCCCCCCTTGTCACAATTTACAGGCCTGTGATGTTGACTGACTGCGAAGAGCAGACAGACTATCATGGGTTTAGTCCTTTTATCAGGACTTTAGCTCTATCTGATTGAATAAGCAACACACTTACTACTTCTTGCTTTTGTTTTCTGAACAAGCATTGCTTGACTTTGCAATGTCTCAAATGATTAAGAACTGAAATAACAACTGCTGGCCTGACCTTATCCACCTGGAACATGATAATTTCTTTCTGAGAACCTTGGCAGAAGCAGAAATTGGGATTGTGTCTGGTTCTAAGAAGAAATTCATTCCTAGCCTATGAAGCCGAAACATTGGAAAAAGTTCATGCAGAGCTATGCTTAGCTGAAAAGGAGAAGAAAAGGCTATGGCCATTGGCAAATGGGACTGTAGCATGAGGCTTTCCTCATCAGAGCTTCTCGATTGAACTCTGTCCCCTAAACATAAACTGGAGCCCTAATCCTTGGTGCATGTGACTGTGACCTTATTTGGAAATAGGGTCTTATGCAAGTATAAGCAATCTGAGTTGAGTTCTTCCTGCATTAGTTTTTGCTGTTATGTTTAGTCAGAACCGACTCATAGCTGATCCCCTATGCATTGCACATGAAAGTCTGTAGTCGCGGACATCTCCAAATTACTGAGGATCAAAGATGTCAGTTTAAAGACTAAGGTGTGCCTAATTCAAGTCATTGTCTTTTCAGTCATTTACTGTGCATCTGACAGCTGGACTGTGAGTAAGGATGGCAAAGAAAGAATTGATGCCTTTGAGCTACGGTGTTGAAAAGTACTAAGTATTTCATGGACTGCCAAAAGAACAAACAAGCATGTCTTGAGAAAAGTGTAGCCAGATTGTTCCTTGTAGGCAAGAATGGTGAAGCTATGTCTCACATACTTTGGACAGAGTGCTAGGACAGGTTATTCCTTGGAAAAGGACATCATGCTTGGAAAGGTGGAGGACCCAGTGTAAGAGAGGAGGACCCTCAACCAGGTAGATTGACACAGTGACTATAGCAAGGGTTGCAAGTTTGTCAGAGATGATGAGGAGGATGGGTCAGGATAGGGCAGGGGTCAGATCTTTTGTTCAAACAGTTGCTGTAAGTCCTCGACAGCACCTAACCACAACAAGACGCGCTGTACCATGAGAACACGGACGGTCTCCTGCCCTCTGCCTGACTCCTTGCCAGGATCTCTAACCAAACTAGCCAAAAGACTCACCAGCTGCATATGGATAGCTGTTAGGGACAGAATTGTGTCTTCCTCCCAAATAAATTGAAATTTTAATTCTTGTACTGGTCTTGATTAAGGACACAGGGTGTGTGACTACAAATATTAAGAATGGAAGACTTTCTTAAGTTGCCATTGTTGTTGTTACGTGCCATTGAGTCAGCTATAACTCACAGCAACCCTACGAACAATGGATTTGAACTTGCCTTATCCTGAGCCATCCTCATCATCTCTGATATACTTAAACCTAGGGTTGCAGTCACTGTGTCAACCTTTTAACTGTGTTAAACCCTTCTGAGTGGCTTCTCGTCAGAAAGAAGGGCAGGTGAGGAGACAGGGTCACACACCCGAGGGAAGAGACCATGTGAGTATCTGCCTGCAAGTCAGGGGGTGCCAAGAACACCCCGGGCTGGTGAAAGTGGAAAGAGACAAGGAAAGAACTTCCCCTAGAACAAGAAAGAGAAGGTATAGTCCCACCTGTTGTGCAATCTACCTGATGAAACTTAGAAAGGTGAAGGTTTATTTTAAGAAGTACAGTAAGCTAGTCATTGAGACCAAACAGAGTGATGTTGAGTTGATTCTGAACGAGGGACCTGAGTGCAGTGTTGCTGTAAGACTGAGACGGGAAATCAGGGAGCAGCTGGGGTAGTGGTCCTACACTGCTCAAGAAAGACATTAGCCAAGGCTTTGTTGACTGAAAGAAAAGAGAAAAAAGAGTTAAGTGACATCTCAGAACTAGTTACCAGGAGAAAGGGGTGTGAAAGCAGGAAGAGTAGGAGGTCAATCTGATACAGATGACATAAAAGTAACATTTCAGAGCCATAAGAGTTTAGAAAGAGGGACTGGTATGTGGATCTACTCACATATGTAAAAGCTATGTCCTAGGAGAGATTTCCTGAAAAGTTAAAATGTCAATATATACTCTGAACAACAAATTGGCCATTTAAACTTTGACTTCAGCTTAATTGTAAAGAGAAATAAATGCATGAAGGATGCAGGTGCACATGAAGTTAGTTCCCAAAACAAATTTCATTTCAGATCAGGATAAGACAATTTCTCTGTTAATAAAATCTGCAAATGTAAATCACTAAGTTTTTTGGCCAATGTCACCAATTCAAAGAAGATCATTAAAGAGTTGCAGATGTGCAAACCTATTTCACATGCACAAAAAGTAATGAATTAGAAAGCACTGTATACATTTGTTTTCTGATAACGATCTCCTTATTTCAATGTGTGTACCAATTCCCTTTGAAGAGAAAAAATTGTACAAATGAATACAAAGAGCAGACGATATAGTCAGCCTAGATCTCTGAAATATAACTTATACCTGCTGTTGTTGTTGTATACCTTTCTGGAACCGACCCATAGCTAACCCTCCAGCAGGTTTTCAGAGGCAGGCAATCGCATGGGAGGAGACTGCCCATCTTTCCCCTGCAAGGCAGCTGGTGGATTCAAACCCTGTGACTTTGGGATTGCAATGCAGGTTCTTACCACTAGACCACCAGAGCTCCTCGAGGCTACTAAATAAGTTTAATTTGACTTTTTATAGCTTAAAAAATTAGTTCAATGTGGAAAGTAAATAAAGTGGACAATTATGGCTTCTCAAAGGCTTTCTACCTCCTTTTTTGATCACTTTTTTTGGTTTATTTTTATATTGGTTTGCTTTCCAAGTTCACATCCATTGTTTTCACAGTATCTTCAGCCACACTGTTTCTCATCTAATCATTCCCATTCATTATATTTTGTAAAAATTAATCAACACCAGCATATACCCACCATTACCCTGTTGAACCTTGGTTTCCAGGAGGAGGAGAACAAGTGGGAAGAATGTGGCTCATTCTACTAAGGTAACTTGATTTCAAGAGAACATCACAAAGCTTTTCATTCAGAGCACTTCTTTAGTTCTGAAAGATCATTTTAGAATCAGGCTTCTGAAACCCAGTTGCATATTAAAAACATCCGGGGAGTTTTAAAATACCAATACCTGGGCCCCCAGTCTCAGAGATTTTAAATTAGTAGGTCTGAGCTGAGGTACAACAAACTGAATGCATTGCTGTCAAGTGAGAACCAGCTCATAGCTTACCCGCGAGGGGTTTTCAGAGACTGTAAATCACACCAGAGGAGACTTCCCGTCTTTCTCCCACAGAGTAGCAAATGAATTCCAACTAGTAACCTTTGGGTTAGCAATGCAATTCCTAATCCACTAAGCCGCCAGGGCTCCCACATTAAGAGTCCAGACATCAGTATGTCTTAAAAGGTCTCCAGGTTATAGTATGCAGCCAGGATTGACAACCATTGCTGTAGACACTGATTTGGACTATTTTAAGGAGTCCTGTGATAGCGTCATGAAGGCTGGTGGTTCAAATCCACCCAGAAGAATTACATTGTGAATATAATAATTAATGTTCTAAAACAAACTGTGTAAGAATGGTTAGATAAAAAGTCCATGTGCTTCACGAACTTCTGCTCAAATTATAATTAAAACATAAATAAAATTCACCAGATGTGCCTAGGAAGAAAGACCTGATGTTCTGGTTCTAAAAGGTCACAGTTTTGAAAATCCTTTGGAGCACTCCTTCTTGGCAATGCCTGAGCTAACCATAAATTGAAATAAACTGGATCTGAGTGAGGGACTATGTGTGTGTCTTTCCACTATGGAAAGCAGACCTAATCTAAGATGCACTAATTATTCCTGCTCTTTTAAAAACCCCGTTGCCATGGAGTAGACCCAGACCCATAACAACCCTACAGAACAGAGTAGAACTGCTCCATATGGTTTCTAAGGCTTTAATTTTATGGATCATAGCCAGACCTTTCTCTTATAGTTGTTTCATTTTGTATTGTTGAGTTGGACCCATCTCATAGCTGACCCCGCAGTGGGTTTTCAGAAGCAATAAATTGCATGGAAGGAAACTGTCCATCTTTCTGCAGAGGAACAGCTACCAGATTTTAACGACATGCTGGTAAACCCTCAATGTGATAGACTGACACAGTACATCAAAAAGGCTGGAATCTCAAGTCTGTCTAGAGAAGACGTGACAGGTAGGCCTAAAGAGTTACTTACCAACAACCACCACTGAAAACCATATGGAGAGGAGTTCTACCCAAACACAAGATCAACTCAGTGACAAGCAGTACTGGTTCATTGGTGAGTAAGCAATCCATTACCCAGCAACACTGAAATAACTGGAGTTGCCATCTTCTAACAAGTCCTCATTTCACTTGAATGGAAAGGGAATCCCAGAACAGTTAATTATGGTCATGCTAAACCAAGGCGCTCCTTTGATAAAGGGATTTTGAAGTTTCATCTCACATACTTTAGGCATGTTGCCAGGAGGGACTAATCCTTGAAGAAGGATATCATGCTTGGAAGGGTAGAGGAGAGGAAGACCCTGGATGAGATGGATTGACACAATAACTGGGGTAGTGGAGGTAGGAGGTGTGCCAGAGTCAGTGAGACTGGCTTAGGATAGAGCAGGATTCTGAGCTATTTTACATAGGGCTACTATGAGTTGCAGGTGAATTGAAGGCACATAACAACAAAAAGACTAGTGGTAAAAAATTGTGCTGACAACCCAAAAACACACAGTTTGAATCCACCAGCTGCTCTATGGGAGAAAGAAGAGCAATTTATCCCATGTGATTGCTTCTGAAAACCTGCTGGAGGGTCAGTTACGAGTTGGTTCTGATCGATGATACACAACAATTGTACCTAAAATAGTTTCCTATAGCATATCAACAAACTAGCTTAAGCTATTGAAATCCAATGAAAGCCAAAGTTTAAAAGGTCTGGCGGAATGAGAAGGTCTGACTTAGAATGCCTGCATTTTTAAAACCTTGATTTTATAAAGTTGGAGATTAAGGAAACATACCCAATACCTTACATATGCCATTAATACAGACATTCCTGCTGTTGCCGCCTTCAAAGCAAGGGGTCCCGTCAGTGACAGCGTCCAGCATCCTCTCGGAAAACTGACCATCTATGGGTCGACAGTAGAGCTCACAAGGATGTGCTGAAGGGGGCAAAAAGAGGAAAAGACAATCCTGGCACATTCGTTTCAGCCCAGCAACCTTTCCTTATGCTTCCTCTGTGTTTGTGACCCCCAGTTCTCATCTAATCTGCTGATTCTATTTTTCACCTTGTCTGTGACTCATGCTAAAATGGAGACATACTTTTCAGTTAGAACATTTCGACAATGAATGAAATGAAGGAAATTGCTTTGAACTGCTATGGCTGTTATAACAGACATCAACATCAAACTGTGCTTGTGAAAATAAGGCACCAGTAAATTACTTAGAAAGCAAAGATTATTAGTGGCTACTAAGGATGAAAAGATGAGAGTGATGGTGAGAAGGGAATGTTTTTGCTCAGGGAGCACGTGTTAGATGCCGTCAAGTCATTTCTGACTCAGATCGTGACCATTAACAACAGAGCTGAACCGTACCCTGCCTGGGCCACCTTTATGACCTCTGATCCACTAGAGCCCAATGCTGCAGTCACTGTATCCATCTATCTATTGAAAGGCTACTTCTCTCTAGCTGATTCTCCACTTTTCTCACCATGAAATCCACCTCCAAGAACTGCTCCTTCATTAAAACACAGGAACACTGGGTTTATGTTAATGATGGCCAAATATAACTAAGACAAAACCTCTTATAAAAATGTGTTTACTCCTGTGTGCTGCATAGTATTCCATTGTATTGTGTGTGTGAGTGATGATTTTGTAAATTATTACCTAACTATGGAGGACTGGAGAGCATTATGCTGAGTGAACTCAGTCTCACAAGGATAAATATTGTATAAAACCATTACTGTAGAATGAGTATGTCCAAGAGGGGTGGGAGAGGGTGGAAGCAGAGGGATAAGGATATGCAGGGGGGAAAGGGAATTAATCATGGGAATTGATGGGTGGGGGAGTGAGGGAAATTGAAAGAATTGGTTCTTGAAAACAATGTTCTTGAATTTTGTAAATAAGCTAGTAGAAAATTAAAACAAAGATAAAGGATTTGAACTGCCAAAAAAAAGTGTTTAAAAATACAACTAAGAGCAAAACGCTAAAAATCTGGATGAACTGGAGAGAGGAGTCCGTGCCTCTGTTCAAAGATCAAAGGAGAAAGTCAAAGCAAATTTAAAAACCAAACAACAATTTGGGTTTATTTAAGATGCAGTAAGTAAACTGTCTTTATTACTGCAAGGTGAACAAGCACAGGTGCACAAGGTCAAAGTAAGTTGAAGAGACCATTGCACAAGGTGACAAACACAGAGAGCCAAATGATTGTGGAGGTATATTGCCATGTCTTTGCATTTTAGAAATTTCTAGGCGGCATAGTGAGAACTTCAAAGCCTGAACTGGAAGAGAAATGCTTGTAAGAAGCCACCTGGAGAGAGCTCTGCTCCGCTGGGGTGGAGAGCACGCAGCTGCCCAGGTGTGCTGAGTGGGCAAGTCATTCATTTCATGAAACAATGTGCTTTCAAGGAGAAGGCTGGAAGCAGGAAGCAGACAGCATAAAGAAGGCTCTGATTTGAGCTTCAGAATCTGGATTTGAGATTTTGTAATTGGATATCTAAAGCATACAGAGAAAGAAGCTCTGTAAAATGCTGGCTTTTCCTAAAGAAATGGTCTATTTTAAGGCTGCTGGGAAGGGCTAGGACTAGAGGGGTCTAGCTTTGAATCAGACTGTCTCTTGCCCTCTTGTTTCTAGCCTTGCTTGAAGAAGTAGATAAAGGTGAAGCACAAGATGCCGCTTCCTTAGTCTATGCATTCCTTCCGTCAGTCTTTGCATTCCTTAATCTAACTACGTACTGGGGGAGGTTTATGTAAGTGTATAAATAGCTAGTATTTTTTCTACCTGGCCCCATAACCAGATCCAGCAGTACTGTTTGCCAGATCAGTAAATTGTCCTTTCCTAATACTACAATGTCTTTTAAGGGAGTTCTGGGGGTCTAGTGTCAAGAGGCTGCACAGCAATCCCAGAGTTACTTGGTTCGCACGGGAGAAGGATGGGCAATCTAGTCCCGTGTGATTAACTGCCTCTGAAAACCCACTGGAGGGTCAGCTATGAGTCAATTACAACTTGATAGCAAAAAACCCCAATGCCTTTTAAGAAACATGGCTGGCTTAGTGGTAAGGAATTTTACAGCCAATACAAAGGTGTGCAGTTCGAATATACCAGCTGCTCCACAGGTGAAAGATGGGCAATCAACTTCTGTGCAATTTACTGCTGCTGAAAACCTGCTGAAGGGTCAGTTGTGGGCCAGTTCCAACTATAAGCACACAACAACAACAATGTCTTTTATATACATACACTAACTAAACGTAAGCAGCAACACAGGATGGGGAATTAGGGTCACAATGAGACCTGGCTGGCTCAATGACTCCTAACAGCAAGAATATCTTAGTCTCTTGGTCAGTTTTTCAGTCTGTCTGTAAATATGAACAAATCCCCAAAGGCTAGAGGGATTAACAGAAATGAGACATACAACAACAAAGTTAAAAAAGTCCTATATTTCAATGTGGGGATTGTGATTAAGGTGATAAAACAGAATGTGCATGAATGGTTGAATGAAAAATGAGGTTGTTTTATAAACTCTGACTTGAATCATCACAATAAAATAAGAAAAGAAATCTAATATAACAATAACAAAAAATCAACACATCCACAGACAAGTTTTATTACATTGAAAGTCACAAGGAATTTTGCTTTTTAAAATAACAGCAAACCTATGCTAAATATTAACTACTCAAGATATTGTTTTAAGTACTTTATAGTCAATATTTGAATATCAGTGATGTCAGTTTACAGGCTAAGATGCTCCTGATGCAATCCTTAACATTTTCAATCGCTTCCTGTTGAAAGTTAGAAAATAAATAAGGCTGACAGTAGATGAATCAATATATGAATATTTCATGGACTGACAAAAACCCAAAAGAGTCTGTCTAGGAGGAAGTGTAACCAAGCTTCTCCTTAGAGACAAGGGTGATGAAACCTCATCTCACACACTTTGCGCATGTATCAGTAGAGGTCAGAACTTGGGGAAAAAGTTATCATGCTGTGAAAGGTAGAAGGTCTGTAAAAGGAGGACAGCCCTCAATGAGACGGATGGACACAGTGACTATAATAATGGGGTCAGCATATCAGAGATGGTGAGCTGAGGGTGGAATGGGTAGGGGAAGGGTCAGAGCTGTTAGTCACTATGAGTTGTAATTGACTCACTAGCACCTAACAATAACAACAACAGCAACAACAGCAACAAAAGAATATCACATCTATCTATGAAATCAATTTATCATCCCTACATTATAGGTTAAAAAATTTAGACATAAGTGATTCTTCTTACCAAGGTTTCACCATATGAGTGGCAGAGCTAGGATTCAAACTGATGGCTTAACATTAATGACCACACTACTGACCCCTAGCCTACAAGTACAGATTTTGCGTTAGGAATTATAAAACCAGAAGTTGTTAATTGGATCTCTAAAAAAGTCACTTTTCACATTGTTAAAGAAGAAAACAAACAACAAGTCACTGCCACTGTTGAGTTGGTTCCAACTCCCAAGTGACCCTCCACCAGGATTCCAAAATGGAATTGTACTGAGAGGAGATGAGACGGCCCATCTTTCTTCCACAGAGCCTCTGGTGGACTCACACTGCTGGACACTCCTAGGCTTTGGGTTAGCAGCATAACCTGCTATGGATGGTACCGCCAGAGACCCCCCCTCTCATCACTGATGTTATGCACCACTGAGTCAGAACCAACTCAGTTGATGCTCCAGTGGGTTCTCAAAGGCTGTAAATCATGCAGGAGGAAACTGCCCATATTACTTCCACAGCAGCTGGTTCATTCAGGCAGCGTGCCTTCGGGTTGGCAGCGCGTACCACTAAGCCATCAGAGTGCCTTCATTTTATTAGGTAATATACACCATTAATGGGTCTAATGTGAGGACCAAACCTGACAGCATATTAGCTAGCTACGCCTCCTTTAAATTCTGTGTCTGTGCTCCCATGGATCTTACAAACAAGGGTCACTAACCTTGGAGGCATTAACTTCTACAAATTTAAGCTTTAGCTCACAGAAGTCTAGTATTACCTTGAGAAAGTTAAGTAACCCTTCTGTGCTCAATTTCCTTACCTTAAAAATGAGGCTATAAATACCTACCTTGCAGGGTGCCACTGAGGATTCAGAGGCTGCAGGCAAGAGCTCTGCATGGTGCCTGGTATACAGTAAGTGCTCAACAACTGACAGATGGCATGGCTGATTTTACCTTCTTATCATGATCCAGTGTGGAAAGCAATGCATATGAACTTTGTAAGTAAACCAGTATAAAATAAAAATTGTACTTAAAAAAAATTCCAAAGGCTTTTGCAGGGACCCAACATTCCAGGCTTCCTATATTTTCTCAAAGTAGACAAAAGACTTGTATTTGCTGGTCCTGAAATAATTATTACCATAGAGACAAATAACTATCTGAAATCTGAACTAGTCCTTTCTCTCTCACGTATTGCCGTCTTATTTGAACCACCTCAAAGCTCTAGCTTTTTTTTTTTTTTAGACAAAACTGCACAGAAAGAGAGTGCCCATTTTTCTCCCATGGAGCTACAGGTGGACTCAAACTCCAAGAGAGGCAATGACTCAGGTTCACAGCACACTTCCCTAAGGACTGTGCCACCAGAGCTTGCATCAGTGATGGGAATCAAAGGTGTTCACTGCAGCTATTAAATGGTCATCCAAAGAGAAATTACTAAATAAACCTGCATTTCTACAAGGGAACACTATGCAACAGTTAAAAGGGATGAGGCAAGCCATGACGTCTATGAATCAAGAAGAGGACAAGAACAACAAAGTATTATTTCATTTGTTAATAGAAGGTTTCCATTTCCTGCAAATGGAATAATACTTTATTTTTCTATATTTCAGTCTAGGGACTAAGATGTACCTGTTCTAGGCCATGGTCTTCACAATTACTTGCTATGCATCAGGGAGCTGGACAGTGACTAAGGATGACAGAAGAGG